CAGAGAGAGTGCACGCAGGCGGTTTCTGCTCTTCCAGAGGGCATTTAAACAGGTAATTGAGGCCAGGAGCGGAGGGCTTGCTCGAACCGTTACAGGAGAATGCTTCAGAGATCTAGTGCAAAATATAATGCAGGTGACTCCACCAGGCCTGCCCAAAAGCCACTTGGCTTAGCAGGAGCACATGTATTTTTACATGGATTTAGCATATACTTTGCATAAGCACTACAAACTACATGGTCTATTTTCCTGCCAGTTTTAAATTAAAATGCTATTATATTTCCCTATACGATGATTTTACTACTGGGAATTTTCCCTGTGAGAGAGCTTACGGGTACTTGAGCAGGGCAATTAGAGTCAGAAGTGAGGGAGAAGGGAGACTATGCCCGTAACCCTCCCCATGCACACCCCCGTACACGGTATTTTCATAATGCTTAAATGGTCTAGTTTGCGAGAAGAAAAAATCATGGGAAAATAGATTACCTTCTCCCAAATTAAGACGACAATGAAAATCCAAATTTCAACCCAAGCCCCCCAAACATATATGATTTTGATCATTTTTTTTAAAGAGCAGATACATCAGACTAAAAATAAATGGAGAGCAATAACGTACAAAGGAAGGGGCAACCTGGGCCTCGGATTCCTCATCTGCAGAGTGGACTCAGGAGGATTCTATGGCTCCTGTTGTCAGGGGCTCCAGATGCTTCTTCCTTGCTCCTAACTCACTGCTACCCACTGGCTCATTGTCCTCACCCCCAAAGCAGACAGCACACATAGATGGAGAACAAGTGATGGGCAGGTGAATTCACCAGAGGCCACGCCAATGGTGACGCGGCCCATGATGTGGTCAGGCCAGCTCTGGGAATAGTGAGTGGAAAAGAAACCTGTGCTTGAGGCTAACATGGCAAATCTTCAACTCTCTTTCCCCTTTAGTTGGACATAGAAGCAGCTCAGACCAAAGCCTTTGGAGAAGTGGACATTCTCTTGACCTGGATGCAGAAATTCTACCAGCTCTGAATGCCTACACCAGAATACCCTCCTTGTCCGCCATGTCATTTCAAAAGAGTGACCCTTCCTGTAATGTTCCCTGGGCACTTCACACCCTTGACCACGGGTCCCATTCTTGGTCCAGGCTTATCCTCGAAGACTTTATTCTTTAAGTGGTCCCAAAGACAGTCATGGAATGGAAGGTTACCTGGAATGCTGTGAATAATCTACAAAGCAGGTTCCCGTATTTATTACAACTCTATTTAAATCCCATCAGTGTTTTAGCTGATGTTATATTTATTTATGAGAGAAAGTTCTGTGAAGGCTGCAGAGACAGCTCTCTGTTCCTCTCTTTGATTCTCCATGATCTTTGGAACCACATGGAACAGTGGATGGTGCTCAGTAAATGCTTAATAAACTGTTTTTTTTTTTTTTGTCTGTCTTTGAATTGTTGAGGGAAATGAGGGATGCTGGGATATAACGTTGAACATTAGAGCATTAAAACCAGCTCTTTATGGTATCTCCAGGAAAAGAGCACTGGAGTGGGGTGAAGGGCACCAGTTTGGAATGTAAATGATAAAAGATGTAATGTGTTAAGTGCCCAACATAAAGCAGGCTCATTAAACACTTTGTTTCTTGCCCACACTTCACATCCCACTGCCACTATCCCTTCCTTTGGGGTGCCTTTCTTTCTTATCTTACCTATTCTTTCCTTATCTGCTGCTAAAATAGACCAACATTAAGGTAAGTGCACAAAGATCAATGCTAGGCAATGGAAGAGGGATAAAATCTATTTCTAAAAGAGAGAAAATGCTGGGTCAGGGTCGTTATGTGCATCAAGGGAGGGAGACTTAGAGTAAAGAGGATTTAGGGATATAGGGAGATATATATGGTGCTGAAATTTAGAGTCCTTCATCACATCAAAATAAACTTCCCTTATGACAGGACTCAAGACAAGTAAAGCTCACTAGTAAGTGCTAGCCTTAAGATCAAAGCAAAAATATTGCCAGGGGCCTTTTCTACCCACCCCTTCCTAGCTCACAAGGCTGAAGCATATCTTCATGGCACAGACTAGGGGCCTTCTATTGGTGTGAAGCCCAGGCCTGGGAAGAGTTCCAGAAGCAACAGCTAACCTATGCTACATCCCGATGCTACATGGTCTAGAGCCAAGGCAGCAAAAACTCTGTGATCAAAGACAGTCTGCAAATCCCACAGCCTGCTACATGGCTTGGAAAGGAAGCAGGTGGCATTGGGCCAAATGCTCGGCATGGCCAGAGCTCACCTGAAAACCACAAAGGGTTGCAAAGATGTGCAAGAAGAGCTGGAGGGGTGTGGGGGTAGCTGAGCTATGCTCAGGGCAAACAGACAGGGATGAGACTTGAGGTGGGATGTGGGAGGAAATGAGGGCTCCAAAAACAGATGGAGCAGGTGTTGAAAACCAGCAGACAAACAGGACTCATTGGCACCAAGGTCTGGGCCCAGGGGGGCAGCCGAAGGGGTGAGTCGGGCAGGAGACATTGACGTAGTCATCTGAATCAGTGTTCTCCATTTTGGCAGCTGGCTGGTGGTAGAATCTCATATATTCACAGCTGGTCTTCAGAGATGAGACATGGGGCCAAGGAGCTTCAGACACCTGGGAACAACCAAAGAAGCATCACTGGATCTGGCATGGGTGATTTCAGTATCTCTCCAGGCAGATTTTAGTATCCCCAGGCTCAGCCTTGGGGATTTTCAGGGTGGCACCTCACCCTAGATAACTGGAAATTACTTAGATCTAATGTGGGCAGGAAATTCCTTAAACAGGGTTCAGATTAAAATCAGGGGGATAAGCACCAATCTGAAAGAGACCTAGCTGTCGGAGGAGTTTCCCCTCTGGGATTAGATAATGTGACTTGTATAATAAATATGCATCTTCTTAGGGAGTTATTCAGAAGCAGGGTGAGTCATCCCCTGCAGCTCTATAAGGGCTTGGAGAGGCTGTGACGTGGCATGACAGTTCATTCCAGGAAGGGGCTGGGTGGTGAAGAGGAGGGAGGCAGTGGGCCACGTGGGCACAGTAGTTCTCATCATCAGACAGAAACTTCAGAATCATCTGCCTTAAGGATGGGTCAGTTCTCAGGGCATAGGGCTGAGCCATGACCCTAACATGGCACATTTATTGTACCAACCACCCAAGAAGGCTGTGGTGCAGATAGTCACATATTTAAGCACAAGTGCTGAGTACTAGAAGTCCGGCCCCCTGAACACAGTAGGCACTCAGTAAGTAGTCACTGAACTGTTACTTTTTATAACATTGCATATTATAGTTCAGCATTTGAGATTAATTTATTTGGCTTAAAAAATTAAAAATATTCCCTGTGAAGCTTAAAATATTCAGTCATGAATCCTATGCACCTTGTCGTGAACTTGTTCCTTCAAGATTTTTGTCCCTTATAGTGGGAATAAGAGTTTTGAGTAGAGAGGAATGGTAAAATTTGAGCAAGCTATAGGCCCAGGTGAGGACATGTGTGGTCACAGGACAGTTCAGGAGGAAAGGGTGTGTGTAAGGGTAGAATGTGTAGAGCAGATGGGCACTGCGGGACCTACCTAAACTACTGAGAATACTCTCTAGCAGAGGTGGGTGAAGGGAGCACAAGAAGCTGGAGGTGACTGTGGCAGAGCTGTCACCTGTGGCTGGGCATCACTCTCCTCTTTTTAGCAAGGCACATGATTGCCCAGCCAGAGACTACATTTCTCAGGCCCCCTTGAAGGTGGGTGTGGCTACATGACTATGTTGTGGCCACTGGGATGAGAGAGGAAGCGATGTGTGAACCTTCAGGATCATGGTCTTAAAGAAGCATTCTCCTGCCTCTATGGGCTGGATTGCAGACATGGTGCTGGCTACCGACCATTGACCACGGACCAGGTGACTCCAGAGGATGGTGGAAGAACAAGACAGAAGGCATTTGAGTCCCCGGACGACTTCATGGCTTAGGCCACTTCTTTCTGGTCCTTGCTTTTACTTGGGAGGAAATCAGGCTTTGATGTTCTGAGCCCTGTGGTTTAGGGTCTGTTGCATTAGCTTAGTCTATACCCTAATTTAAAAAGGTCACACTTAGTTTTTCATAGTTCCTGAGGAAATAGTGTTTTAGCTACTGTGGGATACTTTAGAGAATAAAATCTTTTCTTAATTTGGGAAAACAAAGACGAACAGATAGTTTAAAGGCTTTTTACCCATCGGCCACTGGCCATTAATAAAAACACAAGTTCTCTATGTCCATTCTTAGATTTTAAGAGGAGCCCTCCTTACCCTAGGCGTTGAACCCTCTCCACATCTTGACATCTGTCAGGTCATCCTCTAGGCCTGGCTTAACTGCCTCCAGTGATGGGTAAGCTACCTCTTCTCATCTTAGAGAGTTTACTAGAAAGTTCTTCCTCATATTCAGATGAAAGTGGGTAGCTTACCCGTTTAAGACCTAGAAATTGAACCTTTTCCACGTGAAAGCCCTTCACATATTTGGAGTTACCATCCACCAGCCTCTCCTGAGCACTCATTTGTCATGAAAATGCTCGGCTAAAAGCCAGGTAACTAAGTCTACCACACTGTTGTGCAGTCGGTCTAGACCCCTTAGAAGGAGGAAACCGATACAACTTGTCTCCCGACTCCGCCCAGGAACTGCTGGGAAGGCCGGCGCCGGATTTACTCGCGGCTCCAGAAACTGAGCTCGGTCCACGCCCAGGTCTGGGGCCGCTCAGTCAGGCCGCAGCGGCTTATCTGGGCCGCGGCAGAGCTTACCTGCGGCGGAGCGGATGGCGCTAACCTTCCAGGGCCAGGGCCAGGTGCCTCCCGCTCACCTAGGGGAACAGGAGGCGGGGATGGGGGCGGGGCCGGGAGTCTGGCCCCA